TCACTGAGTACGGAAGATAGTTTAAAGCACTGTGTACAACTGTTACAGGGTTGTTAGGATTCATGATCACTGCATATTTACCGAATCTATTGGGATTCGAACAAGAACACCAAGGGTTGACAGTAGTGGATGAGCGCAATACTGGGTAGAATTGACGTGCAACAATCTACTGAGAACCAGCTCAGATAGCCGTAATGGTTAGCGTATCAGATGAGTAACATCCGAGTGCTCGGGTTCCAATCTCAGTGCATTCGGAGAATAGGCAAACTACTGATGAGTTCGAAAAAGGATAAAACAGCTACCAAAACATTTCAGTACTGAGGGACACATTGACTCTGGTTGATGAATTCAGCCGGAAATGCAAATGAAATCTACCAACCCGGTTCCCAGAAAAAGATTTGAGCTCAGCCATAGTAGAACGCTACAGACAAGTCATGCATCAGGGAGTCTGTTACCGTGCGGTAAGTACTTTACTATGAGTGGCCAATCACGAAGAATCTGGGAAACACTTGAGGGAGCCGGAAAAACAAATTGGAAGCTTATGTAATTTCTGGTTGTACCTCACAAGCCTTCAATTTCCGACGAGTTGATCAATAAATATTGTCAGCGAATCCGGTGTAACCGTTATGGGCCATATGATATTACCTAAAATAGGGACTACTTAAGTGGAAGTAAACCATGTTTTTACATAACCTAGTTGCGAAGAGACAAGTGACCTCGGCGGGATTGGAACCAAGGCATGGACGTCACCGTACAGCGCATAGATCACATTCACTGCTTTGATTGTTTTGGACTATGCAGCTGATCTGGTGGAACCCGCACTGTAACTGGACAATGAGACAACCATATTCAGGGACCAATACCATGGTCAGGCAATGAAACTTCCGTAGTAGTCAGTCAGCTTTGTTGTCTTCCGGCTCAATACCATGCCTAACTCAGTGGGACTTCAAACAGTCTGCCAGTCCAAGTTCTGGGGCTTAGGTTTCCGGTTTACAAGAGTGAACGACGAGTCCTCGTGACTACTGCTCATCAAATAACGGAGAGCAATAAGAATACGGAATCGCCATAATGCCCTACGCATGTCATTCCCGGAGTAACCTTAATGTATGGGATTTTGTGTAGAGAGCAAATTTACTGACTATTCAACATTGGACGCCAGCAGGAATTCGAGAAAAGGCAGAAACTCACCTGGCACCGAAGGGCTTGTTGGTGTGATTGAGTGAATTCGTGTGGGTGACGGGTGCTCTGTTTGGAAAACCAATTTCACAGGTTGCTCGTCATTAATCTGCATGAGTGAGAGAGAGAGAGAAAGGAAACAGTATATATTTATTCGTCAAAAGAATATTCTGACAAAATTTGTTCAAACACAGAGCTTAACCTGATTAAACGAGAAACTTCTGATTACCAATTATGTGAAGCCTCTCCTGTTCGAGGCTGTCGGATCAACAACTGATTGACTGTTTCCGTAGGTGACATTTGAACAAACATTATTGGTCCGTCCAGATTAGACCCCACCCCACCCCGCTCCGTCGTAACACATGCACACACCTATGCAATGGATTCCTAGTTGAAGTCCTGGACAGACGGATCAATATACACCACTGATGAACTCAAACGAAGGCGAAACTAGAGTCCAGGGCGTCCCGATTGTATGGTTGGTTGAATAAGATCACGGAAATAGTAACCGATCTAGTTATATTATACTTCCCATGTGTTTGAGTCCAGATTGGGTGTCACACAAACCACAATACAATAATCTGTATAACAAAGAGAAAAGTGGGTAAGTGGTCGGGATACTGCCAGGTGGCCCAGGACACAGTAGGAGGGTTTCATTGAAGAATGTACAACCGGAGCCTTTGGCTAGCCAAAGCCTAACCCGTAAGGCGCCCAGGCGGCGTGTGAAGACCCACTGTAGCCTGGTGTCTAGTTCATTGGATTACATGGTCAAAAACCCACGGTGCCCAATACACCTCGACACCCGATCGAGGCGGTAACCACTGTCACAAGGTCGATCAGTCATTATCACAATCTGATCGAAAGAAAATTACAGTCTGTTCACATAGTCACGAAGATAAAAGTAGTGTCTGATTGTACAATTTCTTGTCTATAGTGAAGTATTCTATGAATGGATAAGATATAAACCACCACGACTAGGCACAAATTTGCCGTTACTTCTGGGACACAGAAATGGTCAAGTCTTACACTCTGTCAATTTTTTCGGAAGAAGTCTGAACATCTGCGACAGAGATGTTTGTGATAATCAACAAAACCCCTGAGCTACACGGTCGACGGATATCATGTTGTGCGAATGGCTCAATCAGTTTTAGAGTAGCAAGCTTGGATTAGCCTGGTGCCTCTTAACAATCGAATGGGCTAATCCAAGCTTGCTACTCTAAAAGTCTGGACTTCATTTTATTTCTGGCTGTTGCTTGCACAGCTGTGCTTCTATGCTCTGTGTGTAACTCAAACAACGAAATATCCATTGAAACAGATTTTGACGTAAGTTCAACTCCCCTAAACCTGATGAATATTGATTCTTTTGGACACTGATAACTTTGCACTTCAATATCAACATCACACAAAGCTAGTAGTACCGTAGATCTCACACTAGTCGTTCACGAGACTCAATGAACAGAGCAGCCAGTCACATAGTCGAAATCGTTGGCTAGAAATCGAAGAGAAATGGTACGGCTCCATATGAAAGTGTGGATTTTTCCGCTGAACTCAATGCTGTAGTTTGATGCTAACTGAACGTATGTGTTCAGCGGTTAACTAGAACGAAACCCATATTCGGATTGAAATAGCACTGGAGACCAAAGAGCTGCTTACAACTGACACCCACCAAAGCCTATATAGCAAAGCATCAAGCTATTGCTTGGTGTGAAAATTGCACCGGCAATCTTACGGATGACATGGTTGTGGTTGGGCAGTCAAAGGAGCACAGTAAATAACGCTGGCAGACATTTTTGAACACATTCAGCCATTCGACTCTAATTACGATCTAAAGATGTCGAATATTCCTCCGAACTATACGGACTTGCTCTTCAACGTCACACACAGTTCACCGATCAAATCCAGAGATCAGAGATTCGGGCATTCCCAGTGATAGCGAAAATCACATCTTCCCTCCTCCACAGAGGAACTAGTTTCTTATATTTGCAAATTGTCAAGCTTTGAACCGAAAAGAGTTCCTACCGCACCGCCAATCTAAATGATCCCTGATTCTCCCGATTTTCGGACTTCTGGCTGATTCGCAAGGTCACTGATGGTCGACCTGAGAATTGCATACAAGTAGGTGTTCGCTGCATCAACCATTTTCCGACTGAGTTCATTACATAACTTAGACTGAAAAAGTGCATATGTTCGACTTGCTCAGTCGGTTGGGTCCCGGGAATTGTGCTTAGCTGGGTGTCTCGATAATGGGGATCGGTGGTACACTCGGTCGCGTGAGTTGCGCTCGTCGGTTATTGAGTGAGCACACCATTAAATATTGAAACCGACTGACATGAATCCTCTACCATTACTTCTGTTTAGAGAAACAGTAAAGCGCTTTCCTGTCATACTTGCATGAATCGCGGTTACCTCGCAACAATGGGCTTACAAAAAAGGGTGTACCATGAGAATGGATCATATTGCACCAATTCGCATCTGATGAACTTGACGCCAATAGCTAAGCGGTATGGGTTGGTTAATGTGATTGCCCACTGACCGCAGCAAGAAGAGAAGCTATGGTGAAATCTTCGCAAGATGGAACTTTCACAAACTTCACCACGTCCAACATATCACCCGCACCTGGGCGTTCATAAATGATGACCATTCAACTTCGGGTCAGAGAACGGTTGTATTTTTATTTTTTATGGGTCACAGTCGTTCGAAAGAAAGTGGTACATCGTGCGTGAGACCAAATTTTGCTCGCATAGCTCAGCGCGTTTACACAACGGCAATCACTGAGGTTCCATCACGAAGGCAAAAAGTAGCAATTGAATTCAATGTTACAGCCCCCCGACTCGTGCTGCCATGTCACGGTATGACGACCTTATCACTCCTTTGGACCTTAACCACAACGCCACCACAACAAGGCAGACAATTGGCGGGTATACACAAAATATGTCCGAACCATTGGAGGAGGTGATCCGGAGCGAGAGACAGTGTCAGTATCCAACACAACGACCAACTTCGCCACTGATTACTCGATTTTTTCCACCAGACTCGAACCATCAGCCAGGAACATCTGTGGTTGAATATGCAAACATGTCGATTATTCTAAAGGCAGAAATCGGGTTCCGCAAACGTGAAGCAAAATGCAACGAATCGCGGCGTTTTACAACCGATCCCGGAGAGCAGAAGTTTGATTTTACGGCCACGGTTGCAGTATGTTGACGAACGCCAGTTTAGCACTCCCTATTCGTTAAGTGATTTCATTCCAAACACCAACATCTCCCGTTCCAATTAAATGCGAAGGTTTCATATTGATTGGCCGTGAAGCATCCACGAAAAACCCGTGATACGGTACACACACTTGTACACTGCTTCTATGGGTTTGGTTATTTTTTTTACTGAACGCATTGACTACGGAGATACAATGCGTTTGAGCTTTGCCATCTCATTGACAACACTGATTACGAGTCAAACAGACCTGCTCCGTAACAAATATAGCCCATCTTCTGCCATGTGGCACCGATCGGGAAGTGGCGAAAAGCCAAAAACTGCGACACAGCATATCGATCAGTAGTTGATGAGAAATCGGTTGAGATGTTCGTTCAAATGACTGTTTGCTAAACTGAAGTCTTGTGTTGAAGTTGTGAAAATTTCAGTAGCCTCGGTGGGATTCGAACCCACGCATTAATGCCACCCACACTTTTGTACAGTGCACGCCCTACCAGCTGAACCATGAAGCCACGTCGATAGCACACTGAGCTTTTCACATTCGAATCACTTATCTAACTTACAGAAGTATATGGCATCCACCAGGTAACATGTAAGCCGACTTACAGGAAAGGTTTTCCTTACAATTCACCGGAGTCCACCGAATAAACATCTAAGGCAAGGTTAACCGTTTAAATGGTTTGCGACGAAACTATTTCCGCTACCATTATTTATGTTTAATAAAAGCAGAATTTAAACATACAATCTCACTTAATTTTTGTGTATCGAAGAAATTTAAATCTTTTATGATAATGCCCTAAATTTCAAATCGGAACAGTGCACACGGCAGTCTTTTTTCCAGTTTCAAATGTCTGTTTTTATTTAACAGCTACTTACCCTAATCGTTCGGGCAATTTTTCAAAACCCAATTACCGAATTTCAATTCTAAATAATGCCCTCTTTAATTGTAATATAAGTGTGGTCAACCAAGTGTGTGAGCGCTTGGCGTCTTAATGATGTCACAAAAATGGAGCACCGTTAACCGTACATCGGCAAAACAGCATTCAAGAGGAACGACGTTATAGAAAATAAATGGGTAGCGCTTTGATTTTTCTCCCCTATTCCAAGTATCCATCGCTCGTTGTGCAATGTATTCGTGCTTATACGATGAAAACGGAGTACCGCAGTGCCCGTAGACATTCGCTCGCTCGTTCGTTCGTTGTTATTGCTGTTGTATTTTGAAACCGATCGATACATAAGTTATGGCCAGCGTTGATCAACGTCAGAGCCACCGTTCGTTGATCGTGACGGTAGTGACTAATTAAGCTCAACACGTAGTGAAATAACAAGATGCAAGAGGTCACCACGCAAACACCCCAAGGAGCCTGTTAGACCCAGGTTGTTATTGTTGTGATGACTTTTGGCCGGTGACCAGTGTTCAATTTCGTCAGTGCATTGGGAGGGACAACAGCGATTAACGATCGATTGGAAATGAAACATCTTACGCCACAGCCTCGTTTACCGGCTGGGTGAATCGCGATTCTCGTTCAGCTTTGTTAGTGAGGCACAATTCATGACCTGAATTTCGCTCCCATCAACGAGAATGATCTTACAGCTGCAAACATGGCCGTGGCTTAGGTGACGAATGTAACAAAAATGACCGAAAAAGCTCGACGTGCTTGAGACTGAGATTTGGTAACACATTTTTAAACAATCCATTACTTCGTTATAAAATTCTAACTAGGCGATCTCTTCAAAATCACCCTAATCTGTAGACACGTAATGCATAAAATATTTGATCAGATCGAATTTATCATCTGACCGCTGTCTTATTGGTCGATACAACGTGGTTTTGACCCCAGTTTATATCAAACTGTTGATCACTACGTGCAGATGCACAATGATTCAAGCTTTATTTGACAAAGATGAATGTCCATTTCGTGGAGTTTCTGTGAAATACCAAAAGATTTTGTTACAGAGTCCTGAGTTGTACTTGATCGATCCAGCATTTCCAAAAAAATTCTGCTTCTCCAATAAATAGGTGCTGCACACTGATACGTCAAATGAAAAAGCTTGGACTAGAGTGTGTATGCCTTCCTCAAACTAGGTCGAACGGTATTCGCTGAATGCGTGCGATATTGCACGTTGGTAGGTCAACGGTCAATGACCAAAGGAATAAGTATTGGGACCTGCGACGTACGGAGGGGGCGAAATTGCATAACGGGGACCTACGTTATTACTTATACGGTTGGTTTAGGGTAGCTAAACAGTGAGAACATATCCGACGACTTCTCACGAGTGCGACTTGGCAGGGTTGACTGTAAACTATTCACAAACTTTCGACCGGTTCTAAAGCGGTCAGAAGATAAACGCCGCAAGAAAATTCACACGTATAAACCTCGGCCAAAACCATACACGGATAT